AGAGAGAGAGAGAGAGAGAGAGAGAGAGAGAGAGAATGTCAGTGGATCTTTATTTTATTTATTTATTTATTTATATGTGGTGCTGAGAATCAAACCCAGTGCCTCACACATGCCAGGCAAGCACTGAGCCACTACCCCATCCCTCAAGATTATGTTGTTTAGACATGTATCTGATGGAATTACAAAGGGCTATGCTTAGAATAACATTCTATGGGCTCTTTAAGAGTAAGGGGTAGTGGGGCTGGGGTTGTGGCTCAATGATAGAGTGCTTGCCTAGCACGTGTGAGGCACTGTGTTTGATCCTCAGCACCACATAAAAATAAATTTAAAGAAAGGTATTGTGTTCATCTACAATTAAAAAGAAAAAAAGTAAGTGGTAGTAAGTAAAGCCCAGGGGTGCACACCTATAATTCCAGTGTACTTCAGAGGCTGAGGCAGGAGGATCTCAAGTTCAAAGCCAGCCTTCAGTAACTTAGCCAGACCCTGTCTCAAAATGGTATTTTTTAGAAAAATTAAAATAAAGGAGTAAGTTGTAGTGATTTGTTTGTTTTCTAACTAAAATGAATCAATTATTTTCAGAATTTTCAAATGCTTTTTGAATTAATGGAGAGTCAGATAGGTAATAATGATTCAACTCCATTCCTGGTTTTCAAGTATCCAGAGCAACCCAAACTTCCTCTTTTATAATAGTAATCCCCCTGCTAGACTGTAAGCTCCACAGGAATGGGCATAGTATCTGTCTTATTCTTTCCCTGATCCCTAGTGCTTACCCATTGCTTGATTTGGTCTGAGATGCCCGATAAACTTTTCTTAAATTAACATGTGGTGCTGCTTGGAGGTTTTCCTAACTTCTGTTGCTGGTGGACTTGTTCATGCCTGTATATTTGGCAATCTGATATGGCAGATTGTTTATATTGACATTACTGTTGCACCTATCACTAAAACCCAAACAAAAAAACTTAACCAGAAGAGCCTTGAGTTATATGAAAGAAGCTTTCTTGGTTCCCCTTTGAAGCTAAAGTCAGTGACTGTATAGGAGGTAGATTCTGGGAATGACAAAAGAGAACCTGGGGGGGCTCCATTTCCCTGAGAGTCATCTGAATGGGAGACCTGATGAAAGTGGCAGAGTTCCCTATATTCACCTTCCTTGCCTCAGGGCCTGGAGGCATGAGCTTTGCTTTCTTGTGCTTTGTTTGTCTTGACCAGTATAGAGAACATTTTCTTTATTATCAGATGTGGAAGCCAGCTTCCATCTTGAGTTGGACCCATTTTTCATTATCCATTTATAAACATTATACTCTCTTCCACTAAACTATTATTCTGTTCTGTTGTGTTTTTATTGAATACACTCAACACAACATTTTGTTGTCCTTGGCATTTTGAGCCTCTTTTAACTTCATATGTGCACTTTAGGTTCATTAATAGTTTTATTTTTATTCATCTTTCTGCCAAAGCTTTAATTTGAACTTTCCAGAGAGTTTCTGTCATATATACCAAGCACATTAGTACTTCCTTCAGTAATGCCATTTTTCTTTCTCAGAAAAAATAATTGTCTGCTCATGATGGTCAACAGAGAATTTTTGTCATTAAGCATATCTTTATTTCTGAATAACCCTTCCAGATTTTTAGCAACAGTCATAGTGAAGATTCTGAAATATTTTATTTGTCAAGGGCCAGTGTCCACCTATATCTACACACTCTTTTATTTGCTATTGAAAATTCCTGTTATTCTCTCCTTCCTTCACCTGTGACCCTGGAGTTGCCTTTAAGCTATTTTAAATAGTGTAAACATTTATAACCTTTCTACTCAAAGGAGCCCTCTTTGATCTCTGCAACATTATAAATGGAGATTCAGTGGAATCTGAATTTTTTTTTTTTTACTATCCCTGGCATTTTAAGGGTTTTGTTTGCAGTCCTATCCCTTTTACTCTTTCCCAGAGAAGAGTAGGTGAGACTACGTCTGTGCAGCAATGCCTAACCATCAGGCCAGACAATTCATTTAAGTGTCTGGAACCTAGAAGTCGTAGGCTATCTGAGTTGTGTGCTCTCAGGTTGCACCTTTCCTGTATAAACAGTGGAAGGTACATGCAAAAGAAATTGACTGGTATATTTTCTCTACTTCTTTTGTGTCTAACCAACTTTTTTTCAAAAGAGACATCTTTTTTTGAGAATTTATTTATTTATTATTGTTGCCACACTCTTAGATGGAGTAGTTTATAGGGAAAATGCAACCTATATAGACTTGATTTCTTTGTACCATCTTAGAGACTTTTGTGTGAATACAAAATAATATGTTTTTTTAAATTCTTTTTTAAAAATTATTTATTCTAATTTGTTTTCATGACAGCAGAATGCATTTAAATTCATAGTACACATGTAGAGCACAATTTTTCATGTCTTTGGTTGTACACAGAGTAGAGTCTCAACATTCGTGTCTTTATACATGTACTTAGGGTAATGATGTCCATCTCATTCCACCATGTTTCCTACCTCCATGCCCCCTCCCTTTTGTCCTATCCAAAGTTCCTCCATTCCTCCCATGCCCTCACCCCTACACCTCCACTATAGATTAGCATCCATATATTAGAGAAAACATTCGGCCTTTGGTTTTTGGGGATTGGCTACTTCAATTAGCATGATATTCTCCAACTTCATCCAATTACCTGCAGATGCCATGATTTTATTCTCTTTTAAATGCTGAATAATATTCCATTGTGTATATATACCACATTTTCTTTATCCATTCATGTGTTGAAGGGCACCTAGGTTGGTTCCATAGTTCAGCTATTATAAGTTGAGCTGCTATAAACATTGATGTGGCTGAGTCCCTGTAGTATGCTGTTTTTAAGTTCTTTGGGTACTGAGGAATGGGATAGCTGGGTCAAATGGTGGTTCCATTCCAAGTTTTCCAAGGAATCTCCATACTGCTTTCCAGATTGTTTGCACCAATTTGCAGTCCCACCAGCAATGTATGAGTGCCTCTTTCTCCACATCTTTGCCAACACTTATTGTTGTTTATATTCCTTTTTTTAAAAAAAATTATTTTTTAGTTGTAGTTGGACACAATACCTTTGTTTCACTTATTTATTTTTATGTGGTACTGAGGATCGAACCCAGGGTCTCACATGTGCGAGGCGAGCGATCTACCGCTGAGCCACAACCCCAGCCCCTGTTTAATATTCTTAATAGCTGCTATTCTTACTGGAGTGAGATGAAATTTTAGAGTAGTTTTGATTTGCATTTCTCTGATTGCTAGAGATGTTGAACATTTTTTCATATATTTGTTGATCAGTTGTATATCTTCTTCTGAGAAGTGTCTGTTTAGTTCCTTGGCCCATTTGTTGATTGGGTTATTTGGTTTTTTGGTGTTAAATTTTTTGAGTTCTTGATATATCCTAGAGATTAGTGCTGTATCTGATGTGTATGTAGTAAAAATTTGCTCCTATTCTGTAGGCTGTCTTTACTTCATTGATTGTTTCTTTTGCTGAGAAGAAATTTTTCAGTTTGAATCCATCCCATTTATTGATCCTTGATTTTATTTCTTGTGCTATAGGAGTCATGTTAAATCAGTCAGGGCCTAATCTGAAATGATGAACCTCCTTTTTCTTCTACTAGGCTCAGGATCTCTGGTTTAATTCCTAGGTCCTCGATCCACTTTGAGTTGAGTTTTGTGCATGGTGAGAGATAGGGGCTTAATTTCATTTTGTTGCATATGAATTTCCAGTTTTCCCAGCACCATTTGTTGAAGAGGCCATCTTTTCTCCAATATATGTTTTTGGCACCTTTGTCTACTATGAGATAATTGTACTTATATAGGTTTGTCTCTGTGTCCTCTATTTTGTACCATTGG